AAACTTAAATATTTACATCATTTATTTTAAATAAATATGACTAATCATTCCCTGGTATGTAGAATACATTTAACCCAACTGAATTTACATAACTCTAAAGTTATACTGCAAAACAATTAAGATACATAAAAACTGATTTTAATTTAATCATACAGCACCAAAATGCCATATCGTTGCCACCATATTGTTTTTAAATAGTTATTTTGATTATATAATATATTAAACTATAACCGCACAGGTGTTATCTGGCTACAAAGACCTTTCTAAATTTGATTTTGAGAAATCACACAAATCAGATTCACTCAAACAATTAGCCCATGTTTACAGCCCTGTTTTGTTCAGTACTGATCAGTTCAGTAACTCAGGCCCATTGAAGAGGCACACTTGCTCTGACCTTAACTTTTATGTGCTGCAGGCACTTAAATGCTATCCAACCATGAGAAAAAGTTCACAGTTTATCAGTCAACCACTCTGCAAGCATGTTGTTGTTTTTTCTCACTTTGTATGTGTTTACAGCGTCTTCTTGGCATTTTAATTTTGCTGTCAAGTTTTATCCACCAGACCCCTCCCAGTTAATGGAAGACATTACAAGGTGAGTAAAGTTAAATGCTATGGATAGTTCTCAACGTATGTTTTTTTTCTTCAATGGCAAACGCTTATATATAAATAACTTAATGTGACATACATAAAATTTGTAATATCATTGAGAGCATTTCGTTTATTTGTGTAACTTTGGTTCCTTGAGTTGGTTTACTCAACACTGTGTCAGTCTGACGCTATGCAAACACTATAACACAATGCCATACAACGAAGTGATCTGCAATTTATTACCCTGTGAGTAAACAAGTCAATATCAAGACTATAAAACCTGCTAAAAGTGTGAAGAGAGGCCCAACCTGCTGTGACACAAATATCTTCCAAAGACACTCCTCTAGCTAAAACCTCTTGTAGAGTGCACTCAAAAGTACCCCACATGCCTCATATGCCTTCAAAATAGTATTTCTCATCCAATGCAACATTCTTGGCTTGACAGACTTACAACCACCAAAACAAATAAACAATAGGTCAATGTAAATCTTCAACACCATAAGGCTATGTTTAAATGACAATGATGTAGTCAAAAATGGAAAAGTTTTTCCCTTGCATTTTTAAAAAGTTTCACGTATACACGATAACGTGTATTTTTTAAGCGTATCGCATTTACACATACCCGCGAAAACAGCCAAAAACGCTGTATTACGTATGCCAGGCCAGTAATTGGCACTGTCACCTTGTTTGTAAACAGTACCTGTAGGGAAGTGACGATTATATGTTGTTTATGATGTGTCTCTGCTGTTGATTGTAATATTGATAAGTAAATCCACACTTTGCTGAAGAAGCGTTAGCAAACTCTTGAGCAGCAACAACAGTACCATGTACTTCGCCATTGTTGTATACAGGTGCATCTCAATAAATTAGAATGTCGTGGAAAAGTTTTTATTTCAGTAATTCAACTCCAATTGTGAGACTCGTGTATTAAATAAATTCCACACAGACTGAAGTAGTTTAAGTCGTTGGTTCTTTTAATTGTGATGATTTTGGCTCACATTTAACAAAAACCCACCAATTCAACAAATTAGAAGACTTCATAAGACCAATAAAAAAAAACATTTTTAGTGAATCGTTGGCCTTCTGGAAAGTATGTT